GGGTCCCACAGGGACAACATTTCCCCAAATTAGGAGGAGGAGTAGGCCCTTCTGCCCTTCGAGGGCTGGTTGTTGCCTTAACTCCCATTTCCTGCTGACCCTCCCCAGTCAAAGCTCTGTCTATCTCCGTTTTGAACACACTAATGCTCTGTCTCTCTCTGTCTGTAGCTGACATTCCTGTTTTTATTCCAGCTGTGCCTGCCATCCCCTGGGATCACGGAACAGTTTCTGCCAGAGTCGGACTGGGCAGTGTAACTGTCGGCCTGGCATTGAAGGCCGGTCATGTGACCGATGCCAACGGGGATACTTTGACCTCTCTGAGAGGGGCTGTCAAGGTATTGAATCCAACCGATGTTTGATCCTCCCCCTTTCTGTTACTGGTGGGGTCTGCTCAACTGGCCACTCCTCACGGCTGGACTGAGACTATTCTCTGGCTCTTTGACCGTGTGGGCCATCGCTGCTGACTTCCCCCATATCCAGAGGCTTCACTCTGTAGAGAGTGGGAGCTGGGGACCAGGCTTGGTGTTATTAGCCATGGCGGAGACGCGGAGCGGTTATTAGCCATTGTTACCTTCCCCAAAAGTCAGCAAGTTCCATGGGGGCTTATGGAGACACGTCAGGGGCCAGACCCATCACATGGGCCACCTCTCGGTCCAAGCTAGTAGCGTCCTTCCTGAAGCCACGGCCATGGAGAGGAGAGTTCGTGCCAGGCCATGAGCTCTTGGCGACTCTGTCCTGCCTGACCTGCTGAGAACTCCCTGCGTGTTTTCGCCTTGACCTCTGCATTTTGCCATCAGCTCTCTTTGGATTTTGCTTCCAAACCCTATGCCAGGCACAGCTCATGAAGCAGACTGTGGGGAGGGGTGCATGAGGGGGCATGGGGTAGGCCCGGTGTTGGGGCAACACGACTCTGTTACTGGTGAACCCGTGTTTAATTGGAGTCTTCCACCCAGCTCCCAGACCTGCCTTCCTCACCTCTATGTGTCTCTCCTCACCTCCCACTCTCTGTCTCTCTTCTGCCCTGCAGCGTGCGACTGCTCTCCACTGGGATCTGTGGGGATGCAGTGCCTGGGGAATGGCTCCTGCGTGTGTAAGACCGGTTTTGTGGGAAGGAGGTGTGAGCAGTGCCAGGAGAACTATTACTACGAGGCCTTGACGTTTCACTGTCAGCTCTGTCCAACCTGCTACAGCCTGGTCCAACTCGAGGTATGCAAGCGGAGGCCGACGCAGGCTGGAGAAAGAGCCCCTCATTCCCTCTGAGGCACTTCCCAGCCTCAGTACCCCACACCGAGCTCACCAACTCCGAGCGACACACTCCGTCCTCCATTTCGAAAACATTTTGGTTCTGTTCTGTGTTGCTAAGCGTGACCATGAAACTTTTTTTTAATTCATTCATGGATGAGGGCGTCGCTGGCTCAGGCAGCATTTATTGCCCATCCCTAATTGCCCAGAGGGCAGTTAAGTGTCATTGCTGTGGGTCTGGGGTCAGATGTAGGCCCAGACCAGGTAAGGATGGCAGTTTCCTTCCCTAAAGGACATTAGTGAACCAGATGGGTTTGTCCTGACAATCAATAATGGCCATCAGTAGACTGTTAATTCCAGATATTTATTGAATTCAAATTCCACTATCTGCCGTAGCAGGATTGGAACCCCAGAACATTACCTGAGTCTCTGGGTTAACAATCTAAGGATAACACCACTAGGCCATCACCTCCCCCATCTATCTATTGTTGGAAAAGCCGTCCCTCAATGTGATGTGTGCCCATGGTTCAGTGACTCGGACAAGGTCGAGAACAGCATCCCCTGGAGGACAGGCAGAGCTTGGGGTCCCAAAGTTCAAATCTCAAGGCGTCACTTTCCATCTCTCTGTCTGTCTCTGTCCCTGTCTCGGGTTTCCCAGGTATAGTTTAGGAATAGTTTAGGTTAGATGGGCTTCAGATTGGTTTCACAGGTCGGCGCAACATCGAGGGCCGACGGGCCTGTACTGCGCTGTAATGTTCTATGTTCTATGTTCTATGTTCT